TAATGTCCTCTAGGTTTATCCATGTTATGAGATACTTCACATATTCATTTAGATGGTGTCCACCTTTTGCTATTGTGAATAGTGCTGCAATGAACATGGGTGTGCATATATCTGTTTGTGTCACAGTTCTTATTTCTCTAGGATATATACCCTAGTAGTGAGATTGCTAGATCATATAGTATTTCTATTTCCAGCTTTTTAAGGAAGTGCATACCATTTTCCACAGCAGTTGCACCATTTCATAGTCTCAGTATCAGTGTATGAGGGTTCCAGCCTCCCTACTGCCTCACTAGCATTTTTTTTTTTTTTAACCTTTGCTATTAGTGCTGGGGTGAGATGATATCTCATTGCTGTTTTGATTTGCAATCACTTCCATAGAGATACTGCCTCAGAAACCCGAGGGGTTGCTATGAGTCGGGTCCAACTCTACGACATATAACAACAACAACAACGGCTAATGATCATGAGCATTTCTTCATGTGCGGGCCTTCTGATTAAAAATGAATTGGCTTACCCACTACACCACCAGAGCTCCTTTCTTGTGTTTGTTACCTGCCTGAATGTCTTCTTTGGTGATATGTCTGTTCTTGTTCTCTGCCAATTTTTAAATTGGAGCATTTATCTTTCTATTGTTAAGGTGTTTTTGTTTCTCTTTTTTCCCCCAGGAGGGTAAATCCTTACGGAAGTAGATTGTCCCATCATCCTTCTGCGGAGGGGCTGGTAGATTTGAACTGCTAAGCTTCTGGTTAGCAATCAAATGCCTTAGGCACTGAGCCACCAGAGCTCCTTTCATGTGTTGGATAGCTGCCTGAACGTCTTCTTTGGTGATATCTCTGTTCATGTCCTCTGCTCATTTTTCAGTTGGAGTATTTGTCTTTTGTTGTTAAGGTGTTGAAGTTTTCTACAAATTTTAGAGATTAGTCCCTTATCCAATATGTCACTGCCAACATTTTTTTCTCAGTCTGTGAGTTCTCTTTTTTATTCTTTTGGTGAAATCTTTTGATGTGTGTGTCTAATTTTAGGAAGTCCCAGTCTTCTGGTGCTTGTGCATTTTTAGTTATGTTCAATAATTTATGCCATGTATTGTTATGTGCCGTTGAGTCGGACCCGACTCATAGTGACCCCCCCTCCTTGGGTTTCCGAGGCAGTATCACTACGGAAGTAGATTGCCCCATCTTCCTTCCGAGGAGTGGCTGGTGGATGCCATGTATTACGGACCCTAAATTTGTCCCTATTTTTTCTTTGATAGTCTTTGGTACTTTTCATGTCTTTGATCCAACTTGAGTTTGTTTTTGTATAATGACATGAGATATGGTTCCTGTTTATTTCTCTGCAAATGGATATCCAGTGTGTCAGCATCATTTATTAGAGACCACTTTTTCCCCATCTAATGAATGTCAGTCCTTTGTCAAAGATCAGCTGACAATAGGTAGATGGATTTACTTCTGGGTTCTCCAATCTGTTCCATTGGTCTGTGTTTATCATTATACCAGAAACAAGACTTTTAACTACTGTGGTTATGTAGGTTTTGAGATAGGGGACTATGAGACCTCTTACCTTGTTATTCTTTAGTGGTACTTTCCTTACCTAGGGGCTCTTTTCTTCCCATACAGTTAGTGATTAGTTTTTCTATCTCTGTGAAGAATAATGATAGAATCTGGACAGGGACTGCATTAAATCTGTAGATTGCTTTGGGTAGTATTTACCCTCAAATATTAATTTGCTTCCTTAGCCAAATTAATATTTGAGGGTAAATAATGGCTGGCCACAGATGGCAACATTTGAGTTGTTTAGGGAAAGGGAATCAGAAAGAATGTTCTATGCAAAGGGACCAGCAGGGGCAAAGGATTTAGGCTGAGAGAGGACATTGCTCATTCATTAAACTAAAAGTAGTTCAGTATAGTTAGGGCATAGATTTTGAACAATTGGAGAACAGCAAGAAATGAGGCTGGTTAGCTAAGCAGAGGGCAGATTACGGGGGAACTTTATGTGTCAGGCTAAGAACTTTGAACTCTTGAGAGTTTATTGCAGCCACATTCTCCCTCTTGGTCTCTAAACTAGCCAGAAAGAAAGATTGTGGTAAGTCAGGGTGTGAAACTCAGAAGATATGCAAGAATTAAGTGACTTTTCACTAAAAGCACAAAAATACATAATTTTTTAAAAGAAAGAACTGACAGTTTTGTTGGCTGTTAATTCCTTTATCTAGGAGGGCTTCTCACTGTATCATTAGTTTGCCCACAATGTCATCTTCAGGTGGCATCTCTGAAGCTAAAATTTCAAAAGAGCTAGTTAAAGGTGTGAACTAGATTATCTTCAAAAAGAAACAAGAGAGGTTGTTGTTGTTGTTAGGTGCCGTTGAGTCAGGAGTCAGCTCTGACTCGTAACAACCCTATGTACAACAGAATGAAACACTGCCCAGTCCTGTGCCAGCCTCACAATCCTTGCTATATGTGAGCCCATCGTTGCAGCCTCTTGTGTCAATCCATCTTGTTAAGGTCCTCTCCCTTTTTCACCGACCCTCCACTTTACCCAGCATGATATCCTTCTCCAGGGAATGGTCCCTTCTAACAACTTGACCAAAGTAGGTGAGACGAAGTGTGACCATTCTCGCTTCCAAGAAGCATTCCAGCTGCACTTCTCCCAGGACTGATTTGTTAGTTCTTCTGGCAGTCCACGGTACTTTCAGTATTCTTCACCAATACCACAACTCAAATGAATCAACTCTTCTCTGGTCTTCCTTATGCATTGTCCAGCTTCCACATGCACACGAGGCGACTGGAAACACCAAGGCTTGGGTTAGGCATATCTTAGTCTTCAAAGAGACATCTTTGCTCTTCCGCATTTTAAAGAGGTCTTTTGCAGCAGATGTGCCCAGTGCAGTATGTCTGATTTCTTGACTTCTGCTTCCAGTGGCATTGATTGTGGAAACAAGTAAATATGAAATCTTTGACAACTTCAATTGTCTCTCCATTTATCATGATGCTGCTTATGGGTCCAGTTGTGAGGATTTTCGTTTTATGTTGAGGTGTAATAATCCATACTGCAGACTATAGCCTTTAATCTTCATCAGTAAGTGCTTCAAGTCATCTTCACTTTCAGCAAGCAAGGTTGTGTCATCTACGTATCACAGTTTGTTAATGAGTCTTCGTCCAATCCTGATTGCTATATTCTCCTTCATATAGTTCAACTTCTCAGATTATTTGCTCAGCATAGATTGACCAAGTATGGTGAAAGGATACAACTCTGACGCACTCCCTTCCTGATTTTAAACCACGCAGTATTCCTTATTCTGTTTGAACAACAGCCTCCTGGTATATGTACAGATTCCTCATGACCACAATTAAGTGTTCTAGAATTCCCATTCTTCTCAATGTTATCCATAATTTGTTATGATCCACACAGTTGAATGCCTTTGCATAGTCAATAAAACACAAGTAAACACATTTCTGGTATTCTTTGCTTTCAGCCAAGATCCATCTGAAATCAGCTATGATATTCCTCGTTTCACATCCTCTTCTGAATCCAGCTTGCATTTATGGAAGTTCTGTCAATATACTGCTGCAACTGTTTTTGAACTATCTTCAGCAAGATTTTACTTGCATGTGATATTAATGATACCATTAGATAATTTCCACATTCTGTGGGATCACCTTTGGAATGGGTACAAATATGGATCTCTTCTAGTCAGTTGGCCAGGTAGCTGCCTTTCAAATTTCTTGGCATAGCCAAATAAGTACCTCCAGCACAGCATCTGTTTGTTGAAACATCTCAATGGGTATCCCATCATTTATGGGAACCTTGTTTTTCACCAATTCCTTCAGTGCAGCTTCAACTTCTTCCTTCAATACCATCAGTTCTTGATCATATGCCGCCTCCTGAAATTGATGAACACCAACCAATTCTTTTTGTTACAGTGACTCTGTATATTCCTTCCATCTTCTTTTGATGTTTCCTGCATCATTCAGTATTTTGCCCATAGACTCTTCCAATATTGGAACTCCAGGCTTGTACTTTTTCTTCGGTTCTTTCAGATTGAGAAATGCTGAGCATGTTCTTTCCTTTTGGTTTTCTGACTCCAGGTCTTTGCTCATTTCATTATAATTGACTTTGTCTTCTCAAGCTGCTTTGAAATCTTCTGTTCAGCTCCTTTTTGTCATTTCTTCCATTTGCATTAGAGAGGTACAAAGACCAAATTAGTATGTAGCATAATAATGATGACATACATAAATTAATGTCAAATTAAATATTTCATTTAATTATTGTGTTAAGGTTGTGTCAATTTGGCTGGGCCATGTTCTCAGAGGTTAGCAGTTTTGATGTAGTCATCCCTCATTAGATGAAACAATGTAATCACCTCCATGATGGTATCGGCTATAAGGAGCCCATCAGTTGAAAAGGAATTTCTTCAGGGTGTGGCCTGCTTCCAATATATACATGGATGTCCTGGGAAAATTCTCTGGCTTTTCTACTGGATCTTGATCCTGCACCTAGCTCATCATTTCTGGTTCCTGAACTTGTACCAGAGGCCTCCCATATTGCCTGCTGATCTTGGGATTATTGCCTTTGGAGCCTGTGATCCAACAATCTGCCATTTTACCTGCTGATCTTGGATTCATCATACTCCTAAGCCAGCAGCCTGCTATACTACTGGCTGATCTTGGGTTTGTCAGCCCCTGCAGCTTCATGAATCAGGAAAAGCCTCCAACTTGAAGTCTGACCCATGGACTTGGTCTTTTGTGAGTCATTTCCTTGAGATAAATTTACATATATTTATATGCTTTATTGGTTTTGCTTCTCTGGAGAACCCAGCCTAAGACAATTATAATACTAATTGTTATGCAATGACACCTGAGCAAACATATAGAATTAAGTGTTGCTAATTTAGTCATATGCTCATACTTTAAAAAAATTAAATGGATTACTCCCAACACTTGTCTTCCTGTGCCAAACTAAAGAAGATAAAACTTCTACTAGGAGTTGAAAAGAAACAGACAAAGTCAGACATGTCTACTTGGGTTTATTCTTGTTCTTTAAAAAAAAAGAGGAGGGGGAAGGTGGGATGAAGGGGGAATAACCCCAAAACACTGTGAACAGGAACCAAGACTCCAAGACTTGGGTGTAGTCTCCCTACCCCCAATCTCAGCTCTGAGATTGCTACCCACCCAATTTTCTTTTAAACAAAACACCCAAATCAGCAGCAAAGGTACCTGGGGTACCTTTGAGGTACTTGGGGTAGTCACTGAGATTCTGAACACTGGGAATGGGAAGGGGGAAGTCCAAAAATTAGGCGCTGGGAAGGGAAGAAATGAGGGAGAGGCTAGATCCTGGAGGACAGAGTTGGGAAGCAAGAGGTGGAAGTGAGCCAAGTATGGCAAGTACCCCTCCTGACTGCTGCTGCCCATATCCCCCAGGACCCCAGAGAGCCCCATGGTTTGTTCTGCAGTCCATTCCCTATTCCCCAAAGGCCTCACAGGCCTAGCTCCAAGTCCTCCAGCTCCTCCTCCAGTGCCCTCCTCCTTGCCAGCTTCTCCAGCTGCTCTTTGCTGGGCTGGTTGATCTCTCCAGCCTGGATCCGCTGCTGCAGCTCTTCCACCTGCCGCAGCTTCTTCTTTAGATTCTTTATCTTCTTGGCTTTCTCGGTGGTGGTAGCTGAGTCAGGTTGGTCAGAGACAGCTGTAGGGACTGCACGGGAGCCCTGCAGAGCATTGGGGAGTTGGGATGTCTCTCCCAGGGACACCTTTTCGAGAGTCCAGCTCAAGGCCTCTGCCTCTCCCTTCTCTTGCTGCTGCCGCCTCTTCTCCTTCCGCTTCAGGTTGCGTTTGGCTGTCTTGGAGAGGCCTGGTTCACCACCTTCAGGTCTGGATGGGGTGGCAGGAGCAGTGGCCTCAGGACTCAGTCCTGGGGGCAGTTCTGGTTTACTCTTGAAAAACTTCACATATTTATTCTCATACCTGAAGGGAACAGAAGATGTCAATAGAGTTTCAAAGAGTCACTGACTTTCTCAGCCCTTTTCTTAACCTTCCAAACCACTTCACCCTAATGACATTCCCACTTCTTTCCTCTTTCCATGGTCCCTCCCTAACTTTCCTCTGTTCTACATGAGAGACTATAGAAGGGGTCTCTAGGATCCAAGCTCTGGAGCTCTGAATGCTATTCTGATGAACAGAGGCCACAGCAACAGAATTAGCTTGCTCTCTGGTGGTGTAGTGGTTAAGGCATTTGGCTGCTAACCAAAAGGTCATTTTAGCCTTAAAATCCCAATAGGGGTCACTATGAGTCAGAAGTGACTCGATAGCAGTAGATTTGGTTTTTTTTATGGTACCCCTCACTTACCCCTGGATCCCAGCCCCCTCCTCTCCTCTCTCAGATAGCTGCCTTTCCTTCAATTTCCTGGGGTCTCAAAAGAGTCTTCCCTGAACTCATAGGCAGACTCGTTCTCTCCTTCTGTAGGGAGCCCATTAAGTATCCCCTCCTCAGGCCTAACCACGCACACTGGAACCTCCTCTTGTGGCACATAGCCTTCTTTCACTCTCCGCTGCTTCCGCCAGGTCCCGTCAGGTCGCTGTGTGGAGGCAATATACTTGCCTGAAATGAGAGAAATTATGTTGAAGTTATTCTTATTTTCAGACATTTCCCAAGATGACAAAAGAATGCATGAATGTATGCATCTTCCCTTAACAGCCATCCCTCCACCAAATCCAACCATAAAGGCATCTTGTTATCAACCCTCAATCCCTCTCTTGCCATTATTTATTTACCAAGTATCTACTATTTAAAAAAAAAAAAAAGCTAGGCTCTATGGGAATGCACAGTATGATACACCATTCCTGACCTGAAGAAGATTCTATTTTTATAATTTAATTGGCAAGATACATCAGGCATAGAGGAAGAGTTAAGCACAAGACAACAGCATAGTACATCAAAAGGCAGTAAGTGAAGAACCACCTTAAAAAGTGGGCAAAAACAGAACCACAAGAAGAAAAATGACTCAAGAGACTTCATAGAGCTGGGGGAATTTTATTTAGATGGAACTTGAAAAGCAGGACAACTTTAGGCCTACTTCTATACTATAGAATATAATACTGCATAGTTATATTAATATATAGTTATAAAAGCACCAGTATACAAGGATATATACAAATTATATTTGTATTATTTAAATTAGCAAAAAGCTGTAAACAATTTAAATGGCCAATAGAGGGATGATTAAATAGATTTGGTTCATTCATACAATGGATTACCACATTATTATAAAGAATGTGTTAGATCTAGATGCACTGACCTTAAATGCTATTCATCATACACTAAGTGAAAAATCCAATTGCAGAATAATTTGTAGAGCAGCAATCCTCAAACTTTTTTATTTCAGAACCCCTTTACATTCTTATTTTATATTATTATGTACATCACTATCCGATATTTAAAAAAATCATATTGTCGTTAGAAAAATCTTTTAAGTACTGGGAAGCTGTCAAGTGCATACTGCCAGATACAAGTTTTCCAGAATTCTAGATTCCAAGGCCATAAATCTTTATGGGCACAGACTGCCTATCTTTCTCCTGTGGAGTGGCTGGTGAGTTTGGTTAGCAGCCGACTGCTTAACCACTGCACCACCAGGGCTCCTAATTTTCATTTGAAAACTCAGATTTTCTCACTGGCAATAAATACTGTCAGCTGTTTTCCTTAAGTAACAGCTACGTGTTATTTTCAGGAAAATACCCAAGTCTGAATTACCAGTTTGTCACTAGTTCTTTCAAGTTAAAAAAAATGGTGTTCCATGAAAAGAGAAGCTTGTTTAGCATGCAAATCACACAATTGCATTAAAGGCTTTTCCTTGATGTAACTATCTTACTTGGGTATGTAGAAGTGTTTCATGCTTACTTTCCAGAGTCACAGAACATTAAAAAGACATGTATCAAAACATAAAGTTTATTTTTTTTTAAAGTGTATACAAGGGTTGGGATTTAATAAAATTAATTTTTACTACTTCATTAAGGCTATTCTTAAGTGAAACTAGCATTATTTACTGCAAATGTGTCATAGTAAAGAATACAATAACAAACACAACTTAGTTCCACTGCCTTGAATTGTGCTAAAGTGTCAGCAGTTTTACCCACCACTGCTTCTGCACCATCAGTGCAAACAAATGCCAACCTAGTAAAAAGGCAAATACAAAAAAAATTAGCTATTGAAAACTCTATGGAGCACAAAACTACTCTGACACACATGGGGTATCACTATGAGGTGGAATTAACTTGAAGGCAACTGGTGGTGGTGGTAGTAATTATGAAAATAGCCTTGCTTGCAGACCTCTTGAAAGGATCCTTATGGATCCCCAGTGATCCTGGACCATTTTGAGAACTCCTAGTGTAGAGAATGGTTCCATTTTTGTTGGGGGAGAGGGCAGCATTTAAAGTCTGTACAGTCAGTCTGTATATAGGGACTTTGGAAGGAATCATACAAAGCCTTTAATGCTGATTACCTTAATGGGGATAACCTGGAAAAGGAAGTGGTAGGAAACATTAACTATTTTAAATACAGCTCTTTTTCAGTATTACTTAAAAAAGAGAAAGATTTTTAAAAGTAAGGAGTTGAAGGCGTTACACATGAATTAAATAATGTTGAATAATTTTTTCTGTTTACAACATAAATATTATTAATAAATTTTTTAAAAATTATTAAAGAAAGGAAGGGAAAAAAAAAAAGAAAAAACATGAACAAAAGTACTCAAATATGAGCAAAGAAAGGTATGGCTGTAGGAATGGCCATGGAGTAAATTATTCAGGCAAACAGAATGAAGAAGGGTCCAAGCAAATCAGACAGTTTGTGACAGGGAATAACAGGAAGCTAGGTTGGGGATGAAAAAAAAATGGGCTCAGATTTTAGAAAGCATTAAAGACACGCTTAAGAAATTTGAACATTCAAGGGACATATGTCTATTTGTTAATTAAATTTGCTGTTTAAATTTTCTATATAGCCTTAACAATTATTCTCTGCTTCTCCTATCAACTATTGAAAGCAGTGTATTAAAATCTAATGATTTGGGATTTATCTATTTCTCCTCACTGGTTTGCCAATTTATGCTTTATGTATTTCAAGGTCTTACTATTAAATTACAATTGTTATAGATTAAGAAAAGAAATTTGGACATTATCTGGTGAAGAAAGAGCTCCAGGGGATATTTTTTGCCTAGCTGCAACAGACAAACTCAAACTCAACCACTGCCATGGAGTCGGATCCAACTCATAGCGACCCCTCCTTGGGTTTCCAAGGCAGTATCACTACGGAAGTAAATTGCCAACCTTCCTTCTCAGGAGTGGCTGGTGGGTTTGAACCGCCAGCCTTCTGGTTAGCAGTCAAATGCCTTAGACACTATGTCACCAGAGCTCCTACAGACTTAGCATTTATAACAGACCAAGATCCTGCCCTTTCCTTCAAAGAGTTTATAATATCATTAAAACAGGACATATAGAGTGTCAAATATAAAAATTTATTCAATGTTGTATATGTTAAGTGGCAAATGAGGCAAGCAGTAACAAAATATGGTCCCTGAGCTTGCAGGCAGAGTAGTAACTGAAGAGTGCAAAATCTGAGAGGCTTTGTGGAGGCAGGATTGGAACAAGACATGGGCTTTGAAAAAAGGGCCAAACTAAAGTAAATGAAAAGGTAGGCTAATGGATTCTAACCAGAAGCTTCTTCTAAAACAAAAATCTAGACATGGAAATATATATGCTATGTTCAGGAGACAGTGAATAGAGCAGTCTGTCTGGGCCTCTTACAGGGCTGGCTAGTATAAAGAATAAGGGGAATGTTCAGACCATGAACATTAAGTCAGTTAAGGAATTTAATATCTAGCTCATGGCATGCATTCAATAAATATCTGTTGAAAGAATGAATACTTTATTCAAAACACTGGTTTAGGGCAATTAATCTGGCATGATGAGAAAGCAAATTGGAAATGGAAACACTGGACACGGGGGAAATCTGTTAGGAAAAAATACTGCAATAATCCTAGCATGAAGGGCAGAATGGACTGTAAGGGAGAACGAGAAAGTAAGGGACTGGTGCCAGATACATTAACAAAGAATCAATATTCGTAATTCACTCACTGACTGGGGGAAGGCTGAGATGTTAGAAGTCTGAGGTAATTCAACACTCTTTTTGTTTCAGTAATTCTAACCTTGAGAATTTAGAATAAAGAAATAGTTTCAACAGGAAAAAAAAAATAGAGCAAAAAAGAATCAAGTGAAAATTATGGCATTATCTATTAATGGCTAAAAATTATATCTAATTATACAAAAATGGTGAAATATATATAGCATATCTGTTTAAAATAATGAAGAACCAAAAAAAATCATGTAATATAATGTAAAACATAATTAAATTGTATACCATGATTTCAACCATAAATATGTTACACATATTTGTAAGTCTAGAAAAGAATGTACAATAACAAAAATGTTGTGTTGGGGTGATAAAATCATGTTTTAATAATTCCCATTAATAATAATGTTATGTTATAGATTTTTTTAATGTAATTTAGGTTTCAAGCCTAAATGGCTTGTAGAATGAAAGGTGCATAGATGAGAGTGAAATTACTTTTGACCAAGTGATTTAAAAAGATTTTATGAAGGACACAGCATGTGTTGTGAACCTTGGAAGACGAGCAAGATTTAGACAAGTGGGAAGTTGGAGTGAGCAAAGAAAAAAGAAAGAGGCAAATCAGGAGTCACATCCCTACTTAAAATTCTTCCTGGATTCCTCCGGCCCTCAGAGTAATACTTACATCGAAGATAGAGCAACACACAAAAGGCCTTCTTGACCTAGCTCATCTTCAACCTCTTAGCACCCAGCCATTCACACTCTGTTCCAGCCACTGAACTATTCACAACTTAACCTGGATCCATGCCTATATTCTGTGTCTTTTTGCTCCCACTTAAGTACACTTTACCCACTTCTTATATTAGTTAATTCCTACTGGTTTTCCCTGACCTCCCTACCCCATGCCAAATTAGAAAGTGCCCTTTGTGACCCACAGCACCTGTCTCAGCCTTCATCATGCTCTGATGTTTAACATAACTTTGTTGGAGAACAGGGGCTGTGTCTTTGATCTTTACAGCAAAGGGGCTGGCCCATAGGTGACAGTAAATACTGGCTGAGTTAAAGAATAAATAAATTTAAGTATAATATTTAGGGAAAAGCCAAGTAAAATATTTAAGTATAATATTTAGGGAAAAGCCAAGAATGTTTTGGGCAAAAGGCATATGTAATAGGAAAGGAGGCTAAGGGTAAATTAGAATATAAAAGGCTTCCAATCTCCCCTGATGTTGGATTTAAGCCTCAGATTGTGGGAGAGCACTGAAGGCCAATAAGGGAATACAAGTGATTTGCTCAAAGCAATGCCTTATGAAGATTAACCTGAAAATGTGGAACATAAAGTAAAGGTAGAGTAAATGAATGCAGTAGCTGCAGTGTGAGAAGACTTGACTGAGATGGTCTCTGGGTGTTGGAAAGAAATGAAAGAGGAATTTATTATGACGAATAAATCAACAGGGCCTGAAAGCTACCAAGATCTGAATTAGAGA